TTCTAGCTCATGTGCTTCGTTTTATGATTTCGCTACTAACGGTTTAATTACCCAAGTTTGAAGTTTTGGTGCTTATTAACCGCTTCTTGAAATAAACTTTCTAATATTCAAATCCCGCGTGGAAGCACATTAACAAAGAGGGAGTCAGAGACTAAGAACGAGAAGGAAAGAAGCATCCTACTTAGCCAAAGGAAGAATTTTATTTATATGGTCTTGAACCTGGTCTAAACTCACAGTGAATAACCGCCAAAAACCTGTACTGCTTGCAAACTTCTGACAAGTGTCCTTTGGCTAACGAGTTTATTTAAGTAATTTGGTGGGTTCGGTTGTCATCACTACTTCCACCACGGTATAAAGCCTCTCTCCAAATTCGTTTCTGACCAATGCGAATAGCTGTATAAATTTTAGAGTGAGGGACAATAGTGCGGGAAGGGTTGGCGGATTGCCAGAAGCTGGATGCCTGCCATTTATATGAAGGCTCAGCAGACAATTATTTTTGCTTGAGGGTTCGTGCTACGTCAAACTTTTAAACAAAGGCCCTCTCTGGGCTGACGGCTGCCTTCTCAATTGCGTAACTAATTTAACCAAATCTGAGTTTGGCCTTCGTTTCCAAGTTAATTCTTTGGTTTTATTAACATTTCATATTTTTTGTTCTGCCGTTATTACTCGTTGACTTTTGTTAGTACGGATTGAAGTATGCTTTATAAAGCTGACTCTAGTATACTTACTAATTGTGAATAATAATTCAGCTCTTTGCGAGTCCTGAACTGACTTGCTAAACTTGTATGGTCTAACTTTTATTGGTTAGGAGTCCCTAACTGCTGCGAATTTGAAATTATTAGACGTTACAGGCTCCTTTTCCGATACTTTCCTCGTCTTGAGAAAGTAAATGTTTCTTTTGCCAAATTCGACGGTAATTGGTTAGCTGTTCTGAGGATTGGTAATTCGTAATGTTTTTACGGGCTCTGCAACTTGCCCGTCCTGTTGCAAAGAAAATCCGAAAACCGTCCATTTATGTTGGAAATCTAAGAATAGTGTCCTACAAAGGTAACTTGTTCTTATAATTTGATGCAGTTCTTGCATCTTGCAAAATGAAATCCCATTTTGAGTTTTACTCCGGAAAGTTCTGAATATTGGTAACGATGAAGCGGGCAAAGAAACTCGTTAGGTATCTTGTCGATTTGAGATGAAAAACCGTCAGTCACCAAACTTTGGGTTTTCTATTCGTAATCTTTCCTTTTACATGGAAGTGAAGGAACTTGTTATATTGTTTTCTTCCTTTTCAGACCAAGTTCGAGACCATTTCAAGGAGTACGGTACTATCGAAAGGATTGATATACCTCTTGTGAGTTTTTTATCGGAAAAACGTCTAGAAATTTGAATGTTTTGTTCTCCTTAAAATGACTGCATTCGCCACAGGCATAAGTTAACCGAAACGAAAGCAAGTTACCCATCTTTGAAGTTCTCAGAACACCTTATTTTCTTGTTATGTGACCCACTCCTGACGTGTGCACTTAATACTAATATTTTATTCGTAATTTCAAATAAATGAAGCACGAAACAGTGGTAGTTCAACTTTAGCTCATAATATTTTCTATTTCCCAGAAGTCCAGCTCTTTCAGAGTTCCTCTTCACTCATCTTAAATGTTAGCCTTTCAGAACTTTGATTTGGGAATTCATCGTGGGTTTGCGGTCGTCTACTTCAGAGACGAAGAGTCAGTAAAGAAGGTTTTGGAGAGCCCTCCTGGATCACATATTATAGATGATGCTGTATTAAGAGTTAAACGTAACGAAAAATAATGCCATTAGCACAGAGCTCCTTCATTTATTTAGTCGCTGCCGTCCTGGAGATGAGTAATCGGGGCTGGAAAAGCATTACATCGTTAGCAACCACTATAAACTCAAAGAGTTAATTCAGAAGTGGTTGATCCGGTTTTGTTGACGTTGCTGTTTTAATTGCTAGTGAAGGGAAGGGCATCAAGAGAGTACTGTGAAGTCGTAACCAGAATACATATCTATAGTGACCGACAGTGATAAAAGTAATCATAGAAAACAACTTAGAATTGTCTGGAGTAGTAATTATATAAACGTTTGCTGGAGCAGTGGTAATATTAGGATAGCCTTTTCCAGAGCTTACTGTTATTTTCGTCTGCTGTTTTTAGTAAAGTTGAGTAATAAACAGAATGGTGTTACATGTTCTTTCCCCTGAGGCGCATTGTGCGACAAGGCCAATAAGCAGGCTCCTGACCATTAACTTCAGTATTGAAATTTCTGCTAATTTTTCAGTTTGATCTTGCTGCTAGGTAACTTTATTTGATTGGTTTCAAATTGAGTCTGGGATCACTGACAGCTTTAAGCCTTAAAAAATGCAAGAATATTTATTTCTTTTCATTTATTAAGCATCTTGTATTACGGGAGTGCCTTCACTGGTACAACGCCATACTCCAAATCGGCCTTTGCTGCTTGCATATTACAGTCACAGTCAGTACCTAAGACTGGAGAGTCATGTGACCTCCAGTGTCATGCGTGTAAGGTACGTGACCCAGAAAGTCAGCCACTTTCCAAATCAATCAAAAGCTCAAATTCTATTTCAAAACAATATGGCTGCAAATATGACTAGAGACAGAATTACGAGATCTCTAAAAGATTAAATTCCTTTAGTATTGAATATCGGGACTGCATAGGTCTCGTAAGCAAATTCTTCATAGTGAGTTCTGTCGTGACAAACGCCTATAAAATCAATTTCTAATGAGAAGTCGCCATCCATCCTATCCATTAGTACTATAGCCATAGAGCTGCAACAACCTTCTTGAGCAGTCTGTTTTAAAAACTTAACGTTGCAGTTATTAACGTAAACAGCTGCCAAAAGTAAACCCACCTCACTTCTTTTAAGAATACGGGTATCTGCTGGTCTTGAATGCGACCAACGACAGTATGAAAGAACTTTGAGAATGGTATTTTCTCGTATTGCCAGTAAGGCCCTCCATGCGTATGTAAGGGGCAGGAATATGAGTTTCCCCAAGTTATATCAAACATTCCAGGGCAATGCAACATCAGCTTGTATGAGCGACCGTCACCACGACACTGGAGATATAATTATAAGTAATTGTATTGGCTGTGATCTGAATGAGTTTGAGATGAAAAGTGAAAAAGACGCTCAACGACAGGTTAGTTCAAGCATTGCATAATTGAACAATTTTAATGTGACTGCTTTGAATCAGTGTAACAGGCAGCAGTCGGTTCAAACAGCAACATTAGTAGAAGAAATCAGGAAAAAAATTGGTTCATTTTAAATCAAAACCTTGACCAGAAGGTGTGAGAAGCTGGCCCATCTTTTAAAGTACTTTTTGCGACGAAAAGCACGTGTAAGGTTAAGCTTCATGGATGCCCACCCAGACCTTTCGTGCACACCATCCTAAAAAACCTACAGATCCCTAATACATAAGCAGAATCCTTCAAACTTTGCTTTCCAAGATAGGCCCACTGATGAGAAGAATGATGGAGTGTTTTCCTGGTGACCGGTATATGGCGGTACAAGTTCACGTGGTACTTAAGTTTCTAAGCACCTTACACTTGTGAGTTACAATAAAATTTTTTTTTCTCAATTTTCATTTCACGTTGTCAATTTCTTATAATCCAATTTGTGACTGAAATAACAGTGCAACTAAGTCCATACACAAGAGCTGGTGTAATACACTTCAAAAACTTACTTTCACAACTTCCGTCGACAGATATCCACGGAAAATTGCAGTCTTGCGGTCTGTCGGAACAAGCTCACAGTGTGAGTAGCCGTAGCCTTCATCTGCATCACAACCGGTATTCCACAACGCAATGGCCTATGAACAGAAACGTATAATTCCGGAAATCAAAGAATAAGTCTGCTGAGAACGGAAAGTTACCTCTGGCGAGTCAAAGATGAACTCCTTTCTGGTTTCTCCGTGTTGCAGATGGCCAAGCTCTTCGAAAAATTGTTTTTTGTCAAGATCGATAGTCCAACGATCTTTTAACTCCTTTTTGTACTTCTGCAAATGACAGGATCGGAAACTACTTAACCCACGATGTATTCCATTAAATATTAGGATATCCTTTTAAAATAATAAATCTTTAGTAGAAAACAGAAAAAAGAAGCGGGTTTGTAGATCTAACAATGCTGGCGAGTAAATACTTCTAGTCAAAATGTGAAGAATGTAACAAAACTATAAGAGCATCGCAATGATTAAAAAGTACTTTTGCTTCCTCTCGAAGAACTTCTGGTGTTGCCGCTAATAGGTCTTTCAGTGGCATTTTCGGGTTATAATTTTCAATACCTCTTTCATTGGGAAAGTTTAAACTCGTGGGTTCGTTAACATGTCTCTTGAAAAGAGAAAAACCTTGTTCTTCCGAGTCAGATTTCAACTTGTCCGTTAACTGAAAACTGAAACATACGAAACAGGAAAACTAAAAAAGCAAACCAATTTTTGATACAGCATGGCTGAGGCAGTGCATTTGCTTTATAATAGCTATGAGAAGAGGGAACGAAACTGGTTTTAGGCCCTTAAACACAGCCTTACGTATTCGATAAAACTCGAATAACTTTTTGATCAAACGATATCCTCTTAAAATGATATTCAAACGGAGGAGAATGGGAATTTCAATAAACAGAACTTTTCTCATGAATACAGCACTAGTGACACAATTAAACAATTTTTCCAACGGTGTTTTTTTCAGAGAGGATAAATTAATGAATTAAAGCGACCTTTTGGATCCTAATTAAAACTAAACAGTGCACATCGACCACAATTCTGCAGTCGCAGCATAGAAAAGTCTTCTTGAAATCACTCAAAAGTTAAGGATACATTAAAAAATATCAACAATCTCGCTAACAGCAAAACCGCTCATAAAAGCTATAACCGGCAGTATCAATTAGTTCACCTCATTATCCTTTTTCTTCTTCTTAAATATTTTAGCTAATGCCGAAGAAACAGCACAGCGTCTGTTGCAGTAAATGATCGTCTCACATTCACAAAGGTTCTTTTGAGCGATACAGAGAAGTTTTCTTGAAATCATTCAAAAAAACCTGTAAATAATCTCATATTAAAACATCTGTTTCGTCCACAAATACTTCTGTAATTCCTACAACAAAAAATACTGAAAAAATCAAAATTAATTGAAACAGTCCGTGACCACTAGGTGCAGAAACCACTGAAACAACACCAAACTGAGACAGTAACAAAAGTACCGGGTAAGTGGATAGGTTTCTGTAAAATCTAGTGGCAAGTTTGGTGACTATGTTATTCGGACGAATTTTTCAGGAATTTATAAAATTCATACATCAAACCATTAGTAACAGCGGAATATCATTATCATTTTATGGCGATGGATATTGTGCGTGTTTGAATGAACACGGTGCAGCAAAGGGCTTCTAAATCAGAGAAGATACTGTCATGCGTCACACACACATTTTTAACATTTGTATAAATATAAATATAAATATAAATATAAATATAAAT